AAATAATATGATGTTTAAATTCTTTTGTGAAACACTTTAGGAGGAAAAAGAAAAAATGATAAATGAAATATATGCAGCAAAGTGTTAAGGATGGGTAATGGAAACGTGTGGAGGTTAGAAAATTTTCATAACAAAAAATATTCAGTCTTGAAATCAGTGTGGCAAAAAGGTTCCAAAATGTGGGAGGTGAGGAGTGAGGAGACATAGGAGAAGAGCATTTGACTCAGCTCTTTCAGTTACTCTGAAGAAAGCCCCGGGGAGAGAGGGAGGGAGGATATTTGTGACCATTACAGCATTAATCCTTTCTTGAAATGGATCTCCCCAAACTATATATTACCTGTGGCGACCCAGGACTGAGGGTAAAGGGTAGAAGCTGCCACTTCTTACTTTGTACATCAGCCTAATATTTGCTTTTTAAAACAATAACTAAATGAAGAGTTTCCTTTATATCCTGAAATCCGCCTCCCTGCAACCTCTATTCCCTTGGTCTGGTCCATCTTCAATCAAGAGCTCTTCAAATAATTGAAGGCTGTTATGGAACCCCGTGTGGGGAGTGAGAAACATTTAATGGACACTTGAGGTACAAGGATCTGTCTTTTAAATGCTCCTTATCAACATGAGCTTTGTATGTTGTACATGTTCAGTAAATGCTTTAATGTAATCACTGCCTTCTCAGGACATACTTTACTAGCTGGGTTGTTACCCTCTTAACGTATTCTTTCAAAATTTGAATGTAACACTTTATATCAGTGGTGGTGATTTTGCCTTCCAGGGGACATTTGCCAATGTCATTTTTGATGATTGTGATTTGGGCATGGAGAATAAAGGTGGGCAGAGGCCATGAATGCTGCTAAGTATCATAGAAGACAGAGGACAAACCCAAAATGAAGAGTTCTCTGGTGTCAATAGTGCCAAGGTTGAGAAACTTGCTTTATATTAGTTAATCTGTGTGTAGAGGCCAGTAAAATCAATGTATTTTTAATATCAATACAATTTCTAAAATGCAACGTATGCTACTCATTTTCATGACTCTATCACACTTTTGGTTTGCATCAAATAATGCTGAACAAAACCTTCCTCCACAAGGAACGATCCCGTGCCCTCCTGCACCGTCCTATAATGTGCCTTTGATTCTTGGAACCCAAATGAAAACTTCCTTTGCTTAGTTAAATTTCATTCCACATTGTTAATTTTTTCAGTAGGAATTGTTTCCCACATACGATCTAAATTGTCCTCCAGTGCTTTGAACAAACCATAAATAGTCAAGCAACTTTATGATGCCTTTGTTAAAATGTGGACAGAAGATTATTGACCTGGAAAGGCCCCTCGAAAATGACACTCAATGGCCAGACACGAGCATGAAGCACTCTGTCTTACGTACTACGTATCATCTGCCAGAACTGATTTAGGCAAATTTTTGTCAGTCATGGAAGCCTCCTCAGCAGCAACAGTGTCTGCTCTGATGCTATGGACTAGAGGCATAGGTTGAAGCCTTAACTGCTAAGACAATGGTATTTGGAGTTGGCCCCTTTAGGAGGTAGGTACTTCATAAATACAGAGTCCTCATGAGGCATCAGTGCCCTTATGAGAAGAGACTCCCTCCTCCTCCTCCTCTTTCTTCCTCTCCCCCTAAAACCCGGGTGAGGATGCAGGGAGAAGATGGTGATCTACAAATCATGAAGTTGGTCCTCACCAAGAAACAAATCTGCCAGCTCCTTGATCTTGTACTTCCCCGGCCCCAGAACTGTGAGAAATAAATGTCCGCTGCTTACACCACCCCATCTATGGTATTTTGCTACAGCAGCAGAGGCAAACAAGGCAGTGTCTTTTAGCACTCTGGAAGCATTTCTCTATTTCTATGTCATCTGTAGATCTCTATCAAAAGAAGTAACCTGGGATTTTGCCTAGTACATTTCCTACTTGTTTAAATTCATGGAAGGTGGGCTGGGAATTTAGCTCAGTGGTGCCGCCACCTGCCTTGCAAGCACAAGGACCTGAGTTTGATCCCCGATACCAAAAAAGCAAAACAAAGTTTAATACAATCCACATAAATTCATGAATGGTCCTCTCTGTGGCTGCCTTATCTATTTGGAGTATTGCATTTCATTCAGGATCCTATTAATTGTAAGGTACATTATTTTATATAGTATAAAAGAAAATAAAACGCCCTGCCATGTCATAATATTTTAAAATATACCACAATTTTAAAGATGCTGAAATGTTAAGGAATGTGTAGTTTGGAATTGAGGAACATAGTGGCCCTTGATACACACTGTGGCTCTGGGAGAGAAATAGAACAACCATTTGTCAGGCCATCGTATTGGTCTAAAGCTGCAACTCTCAGTCATACTCTAGATTTCTTTTTTTTTTTTTTTTTTTTTTTTTTTTTTTTTTTTTTTTTTTTTTTTTTGTGGTACCAGGGATCAAACTCTGGACCTTGTGCTTGCAAAGCAGATGGCGGCACCACTGAGCTAAATTCCCAGCATTTACTTTGCATTTCTTTCTAAAACCCACATTTATAGAGCTGTTCTTTCTTTCCGTGATGCTAATGAGAGCAGAATGACACTTTGACATCCCCATCTCTTGAGGAAGAAATTGTTGCTCCGGAATGAAAGCTGGACAACAGGAAGCTGCTCTTATTTTCTGAGCAAGCAAATGCTGTGGAGTTTGTCTGTGTGTGACCAGGGAATTTAATGTAGCAGAGCCCCTCCCGTTCCTGATTTGAAGCAGCACTGATCCCTTTAAGTAGGCTGCAAATGACCAAGTCTGGCTATGAGGGCCACAAGGTGATACCTCATGCCCAGGAACCGGCACAGGACCAAGATGTGTCTTATCCATCCCAGAGCACATTCACACTGAGTTCTGAGTAGCATTATACTCCAGATTCTCTTAGGCAGAAATTCACCAAAATCCATAATCCAAATTAACAGAAGATGCGAGACTTCTGTCCGGGGTATCATGCTGAGAAGGCATTTATCCTGGTGCCCCTGGGGAAGTAGACAAGCCTCCTGCTGTTTTCCTCAAACACTTAGTCAAAAACCAGTACACACTTCTGAGGCCCACTGCTCTACCGGGTTTGGACTTGCTGCTGAGCTGTTCTATTCTCAAACTCTGCAAAACCCTAGTAGCAAACCAGGATTTCCAGGAGGAAAACTCTCCAGCAGGGGCACTGCAGGCAGGAGAGGCTTGGGAAGCTGGTTAAACTTTGAGCATTTCTCCTTCCAGTCTCTTAAGAAGGAATCCAGTGGGTGCTATTTTGGGGGCCCGAGCTGGACTCAAGAATGTCCCTCCCTGATGGCCAGGCCCTCCCGCTGCTGTAGGTGGGGCTGTCATCCATCACAGCTCTCATTTTGGACACGCCTTACTTCCTCCTTTGGTTTGTGACTTCATTCCTGATTCTGTCTTTCCATGAACTCATCGCATTTTACATTAATGGGTTGGGAGTTACATTTTTCCTATATCAATACAATATTATTCCTCTGTGACTGACTTATTTCACGTAGAATGAGGTTTTAAAAGTTCATCCATGCTGTGGTATGAATCAAACTTTCATGCTGTGGCTGAATAATGTTCCATTATAGATGGTGTCATATTTTTTTCATTGAATTTATGGGGGCTTTTTAGGTATACAGTCCAGTTACATTTATCATTGGGATCTTGTACCTTTACAGATACTTCATATTTTGTTTATAGACTCACCTGCTGATGGACACTTGAGTTGTCTCCACTTTCTGCTTTTTGTCAATAATGCTGCAATGACACTGTCTGAGCCTCTGTTTTCAATTTTTGGGAACAGATACACCTAGGAGTGGGATTGCTGGGTCATAGAGTAATTCATGTTTAGTTGTTTGAAAAGTTGTCAAACTGTTTTCTATATTGGCTGCCCCATTTGACTTTTCTACCAGCAATGTGCCAGGATTCTGGTGTCTCCACATCCTCGCTGACGCTTGTTTTATTTCTTCACCCTCCTCTCCCTCCTCCCTCCCTTCTGACCTTCCTTCCTGCCTCTTTTCAAAATTATAGCTATACCTGTTGTTGGCAAATATTATCTCACTGTAGTTTGGACTGGCATTTCCTTAATAACTACTGATTTCTAGCATCTCTTCATGTACTTATTGGCCATTTGAATATATTTGAAATGTCTATTGGAGACCTCATTTCTTTTTTATTGAGTTATTTGGCTTTTTGTTGTTGAATGTAGGAGTTCTTTATAATTATGGGGCTTTCTAGATTGACTCAAAAATCCAGGTGGAGACCAACATGCCGTTTATAAAAGTCACAGCTCTAAATGTGGAGAGGGTGCAAGATGAAAAGCGAACCGAAAGGTCGTGTACCACTCCACACCCACCTCCTCCTGCCCTAAAGTCAGTAACCCTCTCTAGGTATTCTGGGTCTTGATGCTTGTGAAATATATAACCGCAGGTACTGTTAACTGCCTACCACTTTCCGGGGCCCTCGTCCCCTACCCACAGCTTCAACAGAGTGGTGTCAATTTGAGGCAGGAGAGGTCTGCGGATGGAAGAAAGAAGACCAGAGAATCCGCAGCTGAGGGGCTGCTTCCTTTCAGGTTGGAGCTACGAGGATGAGGAGATGCGGCTTATAGGAAAAACGAAGGTGAAGGTAGGGTGGATGGTGGGAGGGATGAGGGGTGAAGGCTGGGTGTAAGGACGGGGGTCAGAGAAAAATCAGGAAAGGAAGCAGGGTGAGTATCAGAGAGGGGCAGGCAGCTGTGATCAACGCAGGGGAGAAAGTCCCCCCGCCCAGCCCACCTGCCACCCAGAGTGCTGCGGGCCTCTGGGCTCTAGTGAGCAACAGTCCTCATCTTACCCCAGGCCGCCTCTCAGACTCCCCGCCTGTCTCCTGAGTTGTGGGTAGCCATAAGCATTCCAAGTTCTTTAATTGTTTCTTCATCAGGCCACAGATGGGGGCTCAGATGAGGACACAATGCTTATTTGTATCACAGGAAGTAAGCCACGACTAACCCTCAGCAGTCCGTGTTACAGAAGTTGACAGAAGGAGGGAGAGTCCAGCCATCTCCAAGCAACACCTGCTTGTGGGAGGGAAGCGGGGCTGGCGGAGGTGGGCAGGCTGCCTTGTTAACTCTATGAGGATGTGGGCCTGGTGGGGCAGGGCTTGCCTTGCGGCACAGAGCCACTTCAGGAGGGCGACCTCAACTTCAGCACAGCTGTCGCCTTTTGTGCAGCCTTTCCCAAACAGCTGGTGTGCAGTTGGCCGTGCTGTAGACGGGCTGTCCCAGCGAGGTGGAGAGTAAAGTCTGGACCGTAAACCTGCTGCTTCTGCGGGCAGGGTGAGCGAGCCGGGGCAGTGGAGTGGCCTGATCACTGAGCACGTTCAGAGGGGTGATAAAAAGAACTAGTGTTGGTGAAAGAAGTTCAAGTTTCCAGCATAAAATGAAATGCACTTTTAGGACAGGAGCAGAAGCAAATAACCTTTTTATTGATAATCCCATCTGTTGGGGCACGAGAGGACGGACGGCCGAAGCGCTGACCCGAGTCCCTGAATGCTGGTTCTCATCGGGGCGCAGGTGCCCCGAAGGCGACGTGCTGGAGCCAAGTCCCTTGACCCACAAACGACCCCCTAATCTCTTCTTTGTTCCTGTTTCCAGTTTACACTCACTGCTCAGGCCCTTGTGACTGCCATTAATCATCAAACCACGGTGATCATGCTTTTGTGTGGGACCTTAACACTGCTATCAAGACCCTGGGTGAGAAATAAACTTTGCCATTAGCCATCAGCTTTTGGTCATTCACTGTGTCCGCGGTGGTCTCCCCGAGCCCCCTCTAGAAGGAGACCTCAACAACCATCCACATAACTATATGGGATGACACCGTAGTAAAGCGGCTAATTGTGAAGCTGCCTGAAGAGGAACACAGAACAGCAACCATCGAGGGGATTATATTTAAGTGCTTGCTGCTGCAAGCCACTCCTCTTTTCTTGTTATCTTGGTCTACTGTACATCAGAGGGAAACCTGGCACGGAGAGGTTCCATCGCTCAAAGGGCAGTAGAATGGACTGAACTGGAGAAGCTTGGAGAGGTGGTGGCAGGGCTGCCCTCATACAAGTGGCATAGAGTTCATGTGTAACCTACACACCTTCCTCTCTGGAATGTCTCATACCAGTGTAAAAGGCTGTTTAGGAAATAATGGCCACAAATAAATACCTGCACACACTCAGATTTTTTTTCCCAAATATTTTTCATCTGCAGGTGTCTGAATCCACAGATGAGGATGCTTGTGGCTGACTGTACCTGTTTAATGACGGAGGGGATGAATGTGAGGGTGATGCTGACGAAAGTCAGGCAATGCCTCTGTCCTGGGGCAGAGAGAAGCCAGCTCATGATGCCCTGCAGCCCCAGGCCAGGGGACGGTGTGGGCGCTCCGGATGTGTCGGACGGCTTCTTCCACAGCCAGCGGTGACACTCATCCCTGGTGTCGGTGCCCTTGTGAAGCCTGTTCCTAAGAACAGACTGAGGCTGGGTAATGGGTATCACTCTAGAGACAGCAGCTACCATCTCGGAGACTTTTCCTCTTCCTGCTGCCATGTGGGCAGCTGCTTCATGGAAAGGTTCATGTGGCAGGGAAGTGAGGGAAGAAAGTCCAGTCAAAAGCCAGCCCAGAACTGAGGCCTTCAGCCCAACGAACCTCAAGCACTTCACCCTTCCTGCTGTGAGTGTGAGCCTGAGAGTCTGCCTTCCCCTCTGAGTCTTCAGATGAGGACACAGGCTCCAAGCTTTCCTGCAGCTTGGGAGAGAGCTTAAGAGGAGGCACCCCGTGGGGACCATGAAACAGCACGTACTTCTCACTTTAAGCTGCAATTTGGTAATTTATTATACAGTGGGGGGTTTACATACAGAGGAAAAATACAAACTGAATTAAGCTTAGTACAAGCCCACTCAAAGCTAATTTCATATTGACTTACCTCCGCAATTAAGTAGTGTTTCTCAAATTCAGCAGAGTACTGTGGATAAAAAAGAAATAGGTAGGGCTGGGGATTTAGCTCAGTGGTGCTGTGCCTGCCTGGCAAGCACAAGTGTCTGAGTTCAATCCCTGGTACTGCCAAGAAAAGAGAGAGAGAGAGAGAGAGAGAGAGAGAGATAAGGATAGAAAGAGACAGGTTATTCCAGCATGAGAACGTTAATATCCAAATGAGTGCTCAACTTGGGTGAGTATTCACTTATTCTAGTAACACTGATATAGGGGAAATACGATAACTCCCAACCTGCTACATGTCAGATACACCAAGTTTGTATTCCTCATAATCAAAGAATGAATTCTAAGGAACAACCGAGATTAAGAGTAGAAAAAATTATTGAGAATAATAGCTCCTGAGAGACAGGAGGGGACCTGAAAGTGGGCTGCCAACAAGTCCACTTCTCAAATGAAGTATCATAGAACAAAATCATAATGTCGGCACAAAATCTCGAGTTGGGCACAATGTGGGTCAAAGGTATGATCAACCAATAAGATTCTAAGTATAATGACATTGATAATATTGATCCAATGGTGAAGGAGGTCACGTAGCAAGTGTACATGGAAAGATCAAAGACTATTTTAGGAAGGGATGGGTCAGCTTGTCCTGGTCACCCACCTAGAAGACTGATATCTACCTTGGCTTTGTTGGACCAGGTGATACCAATTAGAGTATAATCCTTAATTTATTGCTTATCCCTTGCAGAGGCGTGTAGGCCTGGTCATTCCATCTTTATGACAAGAAGTTGGTCATATATTAATAGCAACAGATACCCTAAGCAAGACCCCTAAAACATCCACTTCCTGTGGCAGTAGCTAACCCCAGGGAGTTCCAAGAGAGCTTGGCACAGGTATAAAGCAGTGGGAGGCATCTGCAGTCTGTGGCAAGGCGTCCTTGTACATCCCTGCCTGAGGAGCTTGTTGAATATGAATGGAAAGATTCCTTGGGCCCAAACTCTATGAATGTTTCCCAGCCATGGGGTTATAGCACAGCTGTGAGCCCTGCTGGGTTACTAGTGCACCCCACAGCCCTGAATTCCTATGGCCTTCTGATGACCCAAGAGCCCAGGCATCGCACATTGCATCTGGCATCTGTGATTGTACAGAGTTAGCTGAGGAGAGTGAAGGAGGTGGAGCCTCCTGGGCACCTTCCCTCAGCTGCAAAAGCAGCACTTGCCTGAGTGAATAAAGGATCCAAGCAGCCGCCAGAAGAGTCTGGGCCCCAGTGTGACCAATGGAGAACGAGGAGACAGGAAGCCCTGGCAGGATTCCGAACCTTCACAGCTCCCTAATCTCTGTTCATGTCCCCAGGATCGTTTGGCTATTCACGATATGCTAAGCACTCTAGTGATGTAAATCTGAGCTCCTTCATTTGATATACTTGATATGAAAACATTGCATTGGGCTCAAAATCCAGTCCCCTAATCACAGGAAATGCAAACATTCTCTTTGTGGATAAATCAAGAGGAAAAATAGTCAGGTTCTCCTTCGTTATAATTTCAAATGTAAAATATTGAATGGTTGTAAAATTGCTCTTAAAATTTCTGTTATCTTCAGATGCAAACAAAGACAAGGACAGTAACTATCAAAATTTTAAAGAGTTCATCATTAAAAAGTCCCAAGGAATTATCACAGGGAGTTAGCTTACATGTAACACCTAACATAAAAAGTCATGTTCATGGAGACAAATTCAAGTTTCTGATTTAAAAAAAATTAATGACTTGACTTGGAAATTTCATACAAACTCAGTACTTACCATTACATCAGAAGCACGCCATGAAAATTCTCACCAACCCCACACAGATGCTTCCAAGTTCTCTGCAGTTGCAGCTTTTTACACAAGTACTAATACTTTCTAAGTATTTGTGACATGCAAACATTTGAGAGGCATTGGGAAGGCACAAGCCCACATCCGCAGGACCCAAACCAGTTCAGACCGAGCCTAGAGAGACGAGGAGATGAGCAGAGACTGCCCCCGAGGCTCCCCTCACCACGTCTGCTGTGTGGGCCCTGGGATGAACCAAGAGGACAGGCAACAAAGCAGCTGCAGCATCCGACCGACCTCTTCACCCCTCAGAGGCAGCGCCAGCCCCTGGAACCCTGGCCAGATGCCCACTGTCCCTCACCCCTCCTCCTGGCTCTAAAGCTTCTGATGCAGGTGGTAAATCTTCATCCTCTGAGGGTGGGTTAATTACCAGAGAAGCTTTGCATCAACCACAGCTAAGTGCAAATGAATACAACACACTTTAATATAGCTAATGACGTTTACAGTCCCAAAGAGGTATGACACAAATTGATGTTTTTTTTTCTTTTTGTATTACTCCTAAATGGACTCAGAAGGCAGTTTCCTAAGCCAAATGCTTTGGATACACCCGTAATAATCACATTGGCTCCCGTGGTTTGTAAGAAAAGTGTCAATTAGATGTATGTGGTCTAAGATGTTTAATTAAAAGCATCCTCATTGTTTTATAGCTGTGTCTCCTAGGACATACAAAACAAATTCTCTAAATAAAGGCTTCCAAGAGGCAAATAAGATAGTTTTACTGTTGTTGCTGATGAAGTTCTAACAATAAATTTATAGCTCATTTATGGCATCCACCCTTAAAGGGCTTGATCTTCTTATATAAAGGGGTGGAAATGATATCTTAATGGACTCTGTCAAGAATCATTGCAAAAACATTGACACTATCTTCTATTAATTCATTTGTATTAAATTACGGGCTAAGGGCAGTGTGCTCAGCAAGGCAATTAAAATCTATGAGAGAGATAACGGAAAAGGAGACCACAGGTACCAGCGCCAACAGGAAGGCGCAGGGTCGTGCTTCATCAAAAGCAAAATCTACCACCACCCATTTTCCCGAGCTCCCCAGAATAACTGGAATTTTTCCATCATTTTGCTCACCACTTGTTTTATCTTTCCAAATTTACTTTAAATATATGTTTAATCACTCTTAATTGTGAAAATAACGCATGTTTTTTCTCTCCCAAATCAGAGTACAAAGTCCCAGATGAAAAGCCCTCTCATTCATTCGTCGTTTAGATAAATATGAATAAAATGTTTCAACCCTTTGTTTTATTCTACATTTGTTTTTTTGTTTTTTTTTTTTTCTTTTGGCTCGCTCTGTTCTGCTTCCCAGAGACCACCCCCCCACTTGAGTTCTCAGCCCAGACTCCTTTTGTGGGTTCAATTGAGCCTCGGTGTAGTTTCTGCTTGCAGACTCTTAAACCGGGCTCCCTGCGCCGTTGGCTCCCTCTTGTGGCTCTAGCGGGTCACTGCATACCGATCGCTGGCCTCCAGGGACGCCTGACCTCGGGAGAGCGTGTCCTGCCAGGGACAGTTTCAATAGTCAGTCACGATCCTACCTTCTAACCCTACAGACATTCCCACGGAACGAGTCAGATCGTCTAATAATAAATGTGAGGACTCCTCTGAGTGTCACTGTTCCATATAGTTCCCGGGTCCTCCCATTAGGAGAATTTCCCAAAAGCATCAGGACGGTGTGTGCTCGTGCGTGCGTGCACGAGTGTCTGTGTATGTTGAGTGCACATGTGCTTGTGTGTATTGCTGGGAGGGGAGAAGAGAGCGGACAGAGGCTGCTACACAGCTTCCCAAAGCTTCTGAGAGAATTTTATACGTCATTTGCCTAACAAACAAATACTACTACTCTGGAGGTGAGAGCACTAGAATAAAGCACAGGAAGGATGTGTTCCTGCCAGCAAAGTGCTCCCGTACAGAGAACAGGGCCTCGGATTGAGCTCAGTGGTTCTGCTGCCTGCCTTGCAAGCACAAGGTCCCAAGTTTGATCCTAGGTACAAAAAAAAAAAAAAAAAAAAAAAAAAAAAAGTTACATTTACAGAGATTTAGGAGGGGGGTTATAGGCACTGCTGGTCTAGGAACAAGCCCAGAACGACAGGGCATCAGAAGATCAGAGCTCGAGTCCCTCCTCCGCTGCCCCCATGAGCTGGTCTCTAGCCTCCTGGAGTCTGAATTTACTCAACTATACCATGAGGCCAAGAACATTCACCTTCAGCTGTCCTCGCTGTTGTTAGGAGCCTGGACTGTGAAATCCCCAGGATACATAAGCCACAGCTGCTAGCATTTTTAAAATAATAATGATAGTATTGTCAATATAATATTTCAAAGAGACCTACAAAAACAATGTAATCTCAAAGCACCTTTTCTATAGCTATG